CAGACTCGGTGAGCTGGATGCATTGTGGACGCACCATCGCCTCCATTCCGAACCTTCAGCATTCGGAATGGAAGCTTTTGGGCGAATGGGAGGAAAATGGGGAGGGGATTTTTCTGCCTGCCATCCTTCCCTCAGTCATTTTCCTCCCATTCACCCAAAAAACCTCCTGAGAGCCTCTCAAAGAGAGGGAAAAAGCAAAGCAGCTTAGTTGTGTCCTCTTTTTTTCTTCTTGATCCTTATTAAGTTTGCTTCATCCAGTCACCTCTCCTGAACTAGCCTCTACACAACTAATCAAACCCAGCATGAAGTTCTGGGATGCAACTATTAACATGCACACATTTGTGTTTGGAACACTAATCAAACAAATCTAATGTATTCTAATCCAGGGGTCCCCAACTCCCAGTCCATGGACCACCACTGGTCCTGGCCTGCCAGAACCTGGTCCATGCAAGCCCATCCCCACACAAGCAGAACTATGCCCCCACCTATTTCCACACAAAAACTGCTCTCCACAGAACTGGTCCATGGCACCCAAAAGATTGGGGGTCGCTGCTCTAACCCACAGAAATACACATAAAGAACATTTCTACTTAAAAAACAAATTCCCCTAAGATTTTCTAAGGAGACTTATTTCTCCATGGAAAAAATAGAGATATTTGCTCCTATTTGGTTATGGCCTACCTAAACATTGGGTTCTGAATAAACAAAATAATAATGGTCAACATTTGGAGACTCTCATCTCAAAATTTCCAAAATCCTACCCCCAAAATTGTGAAATTGCATCAAATCCACCAGTCTGATAAGATTATAAACCTTGCTGTGGGCATTATTTTAAGTGGCATTCTACTTCAGTGTATCTTTTTTCTCTCAGAAGATGAGCAGATTTAAAAGCAAAACACTGGTTGTACCTGTTAACTATTTTAAGGGATAGAAAGCATAATTATAAATAAATATGTCACTGAAAGCTTGCAAACAGGAAAAAAAGTGGGGGGAATAGGTGGCAGTAAGAAAAAGACATCCAGGTATTCTGCTAAATATCTTTAATATTATCTTTAATATTTTTAAGTCCAACATCTTGTGTTACAACATGTAATTAACTCCCCTTTCATTGTATTTGTTAATTAAAAGAACTATATTGATTAACTGCTTAATTTGAAATATCCTGAAGGACTGTAGGAAGACTACTACATTTTCTCTTTCAATCCCTCTCTCTTCCCATGTAGACAGTAAGATACATCTGTTTACCCAAAGTCTGAAAGTTTAAATTCTCTGATATTGCTATCCAAACATTGCCTAGTTATTTATTTTTAAACAACATAACCATCAGTATGTTTTCAGTGTTTAAACAGGCTTTAAAACCTGTTTTTAAGTTACCTAAAGCACTTCAGGCAATATGTGCAAAGGTTAAATTTCACTGTAGGTTCACAATTTCACAGTTTTTGCTACAACCCCATGGAATTCTATAATTCCTGATCATTTCCAACATCAGAAAACAATTTTCTTTAATTGATCAATTCCAGGACAAAATTGGAAACAAGAATTCAAACAAGATAATGATATGTTTCATGCAACCTATCATTTTCCACTTTAAACACTAGAGAAAACTGATTTCTTAACTTCTTGAAATTGCTTAGTCGGGTTTCTACCTTTCCTGTTTTTAATGATAATATTATGACTGTAAAATGTGAAATGAAGGTTACAGCTGAGAACAGAAAAGGACAAAGAAAGTACAAATCCTTTGGTTGATATCAAGGCATGAGTTGTTCTGGCTAAAGGACAGCACCAATCATATACTTTTAACTTCAGAAGCTCAGCTCTATACTCAAGGGTGGATATAAGGGGTCTGATTTAGGGATCTTTTCAGATTTTAACAATTTAGCATAGGTTTGGGAGAAAAGATGGCATGAGCATGTATGAGTGAGGTGTTAAAACCACTAGTTTCTAAGGGAAAATCCCTTAAGTATGTGGAGAATTATGGTTAATAATACTGTAATTGGATCAGGTTATTATAACTGAGTATAGCAGAGCAGAGCGCAACTATGAACAACAATACATAACAAAATTTGACTTTATTTCAGTTATTCTTCATAGGATTATGTACCTTAAATGATTTATTTTATGAATATTAAATGCATTTGATTTTATGATTTCAAATGAAGCTGTGCAAATTGGTATTGAATTAGAAACAAATATATGTTCTCAATGAATGTCAGGTCAACTTAACATAAAGGTTGACATTGAAAGTTAAAATAATTGCTATCTATATGTTCATGGACTCTATTAAGGATCAGAATAAATCACCCTAGTGGAGCATAAAGTATTCACCTATCTAATGAAGAATGAACAATTAGTAAAACACTAACAGGAATACATAAATTAGCCATTACAATCAAATTTATAGAGAAGATTTGTTTCTGTTGCTGTTGCAGAATGAGACTACTTTACATTCCTTCTGCAGATCTGCATCATCTTACCTGACTTAGCTGATCGTCTCTTGCATATTCGTTGGAAAACGTAATAAAAAAATCATACCCCAAGCAGCAAATATTACTACCTTAATTAATGTCATAATGAGAATACAATTAAAAAGCAGGGAAAAATTCAATTTGGTGCATCCAAATTTTTTTTTAAAGTGTATTTGGAGGGAACACAATGAGTGTCAAAATATAACTTTCAGCTGAGAAAAAAGTGAAAACTCACAGGGACTCAGTAATTGCTTTAGCTAGACTTCACAGATTGGTGATTAATTGGCAATCTGATTGGGATCAGGCGGCAATCTAGGTTTACAAAAATTTGGGGTTCCTAAATAATAACAAAATACATGCACATTGAAAGCATGTAGTCCCCTGCTAAATGAATAGTTTATCATTACATGCAACAAAGTTCATTAACTGAAACTCTGCATGGGGGAGAACAGTATCATAAACATTCCTGACCCACCTACCTTTTCTATTAAAGAGAAGTTGTGTGAACAGAAACAATGTAAATTAGTATTTTATGCAAAAATGTTGGCACATAATTTTGTGATACTTGTAAACTTGCAATAAAGGTAAGTGTATGCTTTCTTGCTGTAAAAAGATCTATTGTTGGACATATGGCAAGGTTATTAGTTATTCTACATCAAGGATATGCATGTACATAATAAAAGACATGTTACATACTGTGTATATCTACTGTAGATACTGTGTCTATCTATTATATATTGTGAATTATAGTATTTCAAACTACTACAGGAATCAAGCTACAGGTTACATCAATTGCATAAAGTACATTTCTTAGAGGCTGGTTATATAAGTTGACATTCTGCATACCGTATAAAAAAGCAACAAATTTGGATTAAGCCAATACAGATTTCATATTTATCTAAAGCTTTCCTATAGCATGAGAAGATCCACTCTCCTCTGATCATACTTTTTCTTCAAGGTACCTAAGGCTTTTGGTGTTTATAATGTTAATCACTAAGCATTTTCTTCAATATGGGCATTAAGCAATGTTAACTTGATGCAATGGACTGTAAGAGTAATCTTGGGAATTTCCTGTTGGGATCAGGAATGAGAACAAAGTGAATAGTCAGATAAAAAGATAATTGAACCCAAGGAAGAAATGTAATTTGACAAACTGATTTAGACTTGAGCTTCTTTAGTTCTCATGAAATTAAGGCAGGGATTGGGGGGGGGGTCCATTCAAAAATTTCAAGGTTTATTACTGTAACTTATAATAAAAGTAGAATTAGTATTCATAATGTAGGTTTCCTGGTCTAGTCTACCGCAAAGGACAGACATTTGTTCTCTTTTTGGGTGATTAATTGGCAGGCTAAAGTATCAGTTGGCATTCTAGGCTTACAAAAAATTGGGACTTCTAGATAATATCAAAGCATATGCAACAGACTTCTAGATAATATCAAAGCATATGCAAGCATATGAAAGAGTAGGGTTCCCTACTATTTCACCTACATATTGTTCTCTTGGCTATGAACAGTCCCATCTCCCTTAATCCAAGCTGACATTATTTATGCAGGTTCAATATTCAGGCATGTTTTTTTTTAAATTAAATCTTACTAATGAAGCAATTCTGGGTGGCTTATAGTGAAATAAAAAAGTGCTAAATCAATTAAAGTTAAAAGTTAAAAACCAAGATGTTGTCCAGCCTGGGGGTATCAAATCAAAGATCTTTATTACGGTCAAAGACCAGCAATGTACATTTGTCTTTACACTATATTAAAAATACTAACATTAAAATATAATTAAAAGTATTAACATTAAAAGTGGATAAATCTTGGGTTTGTATTTTGCGGGGTATTGTTTACAAAAGGGAAGGCTATGTTTATTATTCAATGTTATATGCCCCGGTTATGCACAGTATACATGTGATTGTATGGAATGAAATGGAAATAAACATTTTTTTTAAAAAAAAAGTGGATAAATCTTCTCTACCTGGTCAACTACCCCCAATGTAGTAGGTCTTATAGAGGTCCAAGACCAAGCAACAGAGTCAAGGTTTCAGGTGCTTCCTTAAGGACAGGAGAGTGGGGATGGATCTCACCTCTGATGGATTTAGCCACATGGTTTAGCCATGTTTACATTTGTGTCAACGGTAATTGACAGATTTTGCATCATGTCATTTAGAAAACATTTTAATATATATGTTATAAGAAATTTGTTTCAATTCTCTTGTGTTGGGTTCAATAGGCTAACACAGCTAAACTCTGGAAATTTATAAATTTTTATAAGCTGTTTAGTCATATACCTTTCCTGTGTAATGAAAATAAAGGGTTTTTTTTTAGAAACAAAGTTTCAGAACTTTATGGATATATTATGGAGTGATATATTACCCTATGATATTTTTTGGGAAAGTAACCATTGTCCTTTGATTCCAGACTGGAGAGCCTCCTAAGTGTATTCAGTGAGCAGTTTTACAGAACATTAAATGATTGCTTTTCAAATAGGCAATTGTATTCAAGTTTAGCTTCAGATTCTTGGCTTAGTATGTTGAATACTTACAGCGGCAAGCTGGAAATGTGCTATTGATTTGTTCCATGACCTCCGTTAAATCTGTGCTAGTATGATGAGGTGGGACTAGCAAGTCATCTATACCTAAGGAGAACAAAATGTGAAACGACTTTAGTAAAAAAGGAAATAGTATTTAAAATCCCAAAAGCTGCTTCCACCTACCCTTATTATCCGTATGGTTTCAGAATAATTTCAAAAAAGAATTCAACTAATTGAAATCTTTGATTCATTATGCAAGAATGGCTCATTGATAACAACTTGGATACAGAGGAATAGAAACTAAAAGTATCAATTTATCCCTTTTCTCATATCTGAACTATAAAGCTTATCCATGATGCCTGCAATAATATTGGACAGAATTTTACCAAGACAATTAGTTGTGGAAATATTGCAGTTTTATCAAGTAGGCGATTACATTGAAAATGGCTCTGTATTCAGCCATTTTGCACATCACTGTAGTCACTGTATTCAGCAGAAAGGCTCAGTGCCCAAATGGCCAATGATCATTATTAAGGCCAGAACTTCCATATTTTGAATAAAGAAGAGAAGAAAAAATGAAAATCAGTAGTCCTGACTGCCATAGAGATGATGCATGTTCCTTGCCTTCATGAGCATAAAAGTCCTGGTCTTCGGTTGTATGCCTTGTTCAGTTGGATCCTTGTTCTCTAGCTTCCCTAAGGCACTATAATATTTTTGGGATATTCATCTTCTTCACTTTGATTCAGCACCCATTTCATAATCTGGACTATTTTGTAAAAGCTTATCTATCTATCCGTCCATCTGTCCATCCGTCCCCCCATCCATCCATCCATCCATCCACCCACCCATCCATCCATTTAGCTAGCCATTTAACCATTCATCCATCTGTTTAGCTATCTATGTATCAACCCATGTGTCCATCCATACTCTCTCACCTACAAACTTATGAAGACTGCAAAGAAACCTGCGAGTATTAAAAGGTTTGGCTTTGGCATTTAAAATTTTTGAAGAGCTGGGACACGAACATTAGTTGTTCAAATAATACTTCTTTTTAAAAAAGTATTAAAATATTAAAAGTCACAAAATCAACATTTTTTTTCTCTTTTGCTCCTGAATATCGGCAGCAATAGTTTAGTGTAATTCCAGAAGCTGCAAAAATGGGACTGGGGCCTCTCTGCAGCTCTAGGCTGTGGAAACATCTGTAATATTTTCAACTTGACTAGAGAGAGGCACAACAAACACATCCTATTCATAGGCATTTTAATATCAATGTTTGTACTTTGTTAAAAAGTTCAACCTCAGCCTTTTAAATTTATTTTTCATCTCAACTATTACAATACAGTCAAAGTCATCTATCATCACGAGGTAACAATAACATAGTAATTGTTTTACTTGTCATTCCTCTGGCCTGACTTTAATGGGATCATTTCACAATTGTTGAACATTCAGTAGTGACATATTCAGTTGATGGGTTTTGGGTTGTTGGCCATTTTATCTACTTAGCTCTTACATTCTTCTTAATATTTTATTGTTTTATATTACATTTTTGTAAGATGCCTAAAGGGCTTTACAATGGCTAAAAATGCTTTATAGTGGCTAAAATGATAAAATGAATAATGTTTTTTCCTAATTTCAGAAAAGTTATGAATCTTTCAGCCAAAGTATGAAGCTTTGTTCTTTTGAATAACAAACCACATGCAAGTAATTACAATTTTTCCTAAGAATAAATTGAATACCTGGCCTGGATAATAATATATTACACTAGGCAGCTTCTATAGTAAATTCTTACTTGGTTCTTTGTACATTAACTTTCTAATTCTAAGAAGAAATGCTCACCAAACAAAAAACTTTATCTCTGTTATTGCATTAGGCAAATACATATACTGAATATTTATATAATGAACAAGACACCATACAACTAGTGGGGAGACAGAAAGGGGTAACCCCATAACTCAAATTTCAACCTGAATATACAATCGTAAGGTACCTCAGGTCCCAGCATACATTTTGCATGGGGTTAATTTTATAACTCAATAGACTTTGGAAACTGGCTCAAGGGAAATATAACACTACTAGCTGTGCACTAACTAGTAACTTACCTGTCTGATTAAACTGTGAATTAGCATCCTGATCAGATGAATACCCAAGGGTGGATTGCTGAGGTGAAGCATTAGAAAAGCCTCCATTAACCCTGGAATCTGTTTCAGGCTGCAAATTAGAGGTGGGAAGAAGTTGATTTGAACATACCAGAGCATACATTAACTATCTGATGAAATCTAATAAAACGTACTTTGTAGTATTCAATATCCAGGATTGAAATGAATCAGACACCATAAAGAAGAGCAAGCTTTTGACAGAGTTAAGTGTCTGAGCCTGCTGGTTTACTTCATATCCCACAGTCATGATGGCAATTACTTTGTTCCGCTGGCAATGAACACATATATCGGACTTTTAATAGACTTCATAACAGTTTTGATGTAAACTGAATCCTATGTTGGCTTTTACATTTTTGGAACAGTTCAAAGATGTATAGAGCCAATGTGAGTGACAATTCTCTCTAGCCAGGAGTCTCCAACCGCCAGTCTGCATCTGGTACCAGTCCACGGCCCATTGGGAACTGGGCCATGCAAGTGACAGACAGCATGCTAAGCCCCACTTGTGCAAGTGGCGTGAGCAGCATGCGAAACCATCCCTCCCCCCTGAGTCTGCCACCATTGCCACTGGTCTGCAGAGCTGGAAAAGTTGGGGACCACTGTCTCTAGCAGTATTTCTCAACTTTGGTAACTTGAAGAGTTGTGGACTCCAACTCCCAGAATTCCCCAGTCATTGAGAAACACTTCTTTACAATACTGCAGGTAAACTTGGTTTCCTAGGATTAAACTAATTCTAGATATTTTAAGTAACAATTTTCATGTTTTATTCAGTACGTGATACTTAAAAACTAAAAAGGATCACCATACATTACTGAGTATGAATGAAATCTTCTGCTAGTACTGTTTTTGCTTTTGTCCATACTTTTCTAGAAGTTCTTTTCATTAGTTAACTTAAAGAAGAACTTTTATGAGTATTTTGATGGCTCTTCCTGCTAGATTACAAAAGAGAGAAGCTAAATTCCATGTAATAAATTCCATGTAATAAATAATAGTTGTTCCATATTACAAAGCAATTATCAGCAAACTTTGGGCTTATGAATTCCGTTAGATTTATTCTTTTTTCAGCTTAACATGAATTCACAAAATATTTTGCTTTCATTTTTTTTGATAAACTTAACTGATTCCGATGGCATATAAACAATGATTAATTTACTGATAGCCTATTTCTCTTATTCCTTGTCTATGGAGCAATAAATATGTTTGATCTGCAAGCTTCCAGATTTTCCTAAGGATTTAGTTAAGACATTTATGATTTCATTATAATTTCTTTTTTAACATGTCTTTATGAAGTTTCTATGTGCAGCTCCATTTCATCTCTAAATCTGACTTTGTTATTGCTTATTTTGGACACAATGGCCAAATTTCACGGCAACCATCAATCCTTGTTGAAATAAAAATAGTAAGTACACCTTCAAACTGTGACCTGAAATATCACATTTTAACAAGATGAAATGCAGGATTTCAAAATAATCTTACTAACAGAATTCTCTTTGATTCCACCAGCTCAATCGGGGTTTTTTCCCCCCTAGCTCAGGGAGAATAAAGTCTTGACATGTTATTAATCTAATCAACACTCTTCAGTGAATATATCATAATCACAAAGAAATCTTTTTAAAAACATAAGACTGATTTGAAAATAACATATTAGAAAAACAAACAGTAGCACATGCCACAAGGTTACATAACACCTGTCACCACATAGTCCAATTTAAAACCAATTGAAAAGAAATGCAACTGAACTATCTCACAAATAGTCACTTTAAAGAACAATGCATATTAATGTTTACAAAAGTTGCACAAACAGGTTGATAGATGGCTATTATAAAATGTTTCCTGTGCACTATGAAAAAAGTAAGATTTGTGAAGTAGTTCAATGCCTCAAATACAGGAGAAGTGTTAAACTGGAGATGGACTCCCATATTTCAGAATGAATGTTTTTTACTAATAGTAACGAAGTAAGCAAATGATTCTATAGAGGAATTACTGAGTCTGTCGTCTGCACCTCTACAACATGTCTGGTTTGGCTCTGCAACCAAACAAGACATACACAGACATCAACGGATAATTAGAACTGCAGGAAAAAAAAACAATTGCTACCAACCTGCCTCCATTGTGGACCTGTATACTGCATGAGTCAAAAAGAGGGCTGTGAAAGTATCTACAGACCCCTCACATCCTGGACATAAATTGTTTCAACTTCTACCCTCAAAACGACGCTATAGGGCTCTGCATACCAGAACACCAAGACACAAGGACAGTTTTTCCACAAATGCCATCACTCTGCTAAGCAACTAATTCCCACAGCACTATCAAACTATCTACAAAGACTATATTTGTCTTCATCATTCTTCATTCTTCATTCAAAAATCAGGAAAGAAAACCACAGGACTCCATTGATAGAAATCAAGTGTACTTTTACTAATTATAAATGAA